ATAATCAGAACATTTGAAAAAGTTTTAGATCTAATTTTGATAATTCTGCGTAATGCGTACTTTACTGAAGGTACAAACAAATTTATACAGAAAAGGCTATAGTAAAACGTGTACGTTACCCATGAAATTATAAATAAATTAATAAATAATAAATTACAACATACAGAACGAAAGATATACAGCTAAAAACTATTTTGCTGTTAGAAATATCAATATGTGATATAAAATATGACGTATAATGATTTTTGAACATAAGAAGATAAATTTGATTTGTCAATTAAATATCATTTTGGTTCAAAGAAACGCGAAAAACATTTGAAGACAAAACATATTTCCCCCTAAGGCAAGGACGGACCATTCCGCAGAAATTATTTTTCACGAACTAGATGTTTTCACATAACAATTTAATGTATTGATTGACAATAATCGATCGTCTATTTATATTGATCACATCTCACAAAGTAGGTGCTCCTGTCCTTCTTTGAATTGCGATAATCAGTGTATTGATCGTGTGTAGCTTTTCATCGTCATAAACTCATAGAGTATATAATTCGCTATTAACGGTACGCAGTGTTAACCATTCTTGGGCGTTTCTTGAAATGTTTGTATGGGGTTTTTTTTATCATTTTCTTTTGATGATAGCGGTTGGTTGAACACATTGACAATATTTGTAAAGTAAAAGACATATGTTGCATCTTTAGGTTTTCCAATTCGGGAAGGAACTGATGATATGTATTAACAGTATAGACTGGTCATGCTGGGGTTTTAAGTCCTCGCTGGAAATTTATACCGATTTGTACGGAAATAAATATTAATGTTACATACAATATGATTGTGTTTATTATGATCAAATAGTCCGCAATAACAAACAATCGATTAGTAAAATTCGTGTTATTGTCGTCCACGACGAGGCTACAATTGTTTCGTCAGCTGTTACAGTATGTAACGAGGAATTATCGCTCCCCGATAACAATCCAGGGAGAGCCAGATGGGGATATAATTAACAACATCTATTATGTTATTTCGGAGAGTGTATTTCAAACACTTAATCACAAAAGGACATAATTTAAATTAATACAAACTATTTCTATATCTATACCCACGATAGTGCCTTTAATCACGTTGCCAAATGTTACGCTATTACGACTTGCCACAAACGAGATCAGATGCTGTATTGGATAGACACGGCGTCTATCAATAAACATATATACGCTTGGTAATCATGATCTTTTAATCGTTTTTATCTAAAGAAATTCATTGTATTAATAATCAAATACCAAATGACCTTGATTATTATCTATTTTCTTATCAAACGTTTTAAATGAGTTAACGATTGGATATCACAACACAAGATGGTTTGATTTTTAACAAACGTATCCAGTAACGAATGATGAAGATTTATTATGTTAACCACATGGTGTATGAAGATTTACGTAGGATGAAATATAAAGTTTTGATATATAACCAATTTTTATTTTATGTCATCTGGTGCAATTCAACTTTTAAATGACATTAACGGCATTCCCATTTTAGTTGTTTGATCATTTTTAATTAAAAAAAAGTTTATCTAGCTCCTTGGTTTTGTTAATTTGATTGGTTTTATTTGTAATTTTTTTTAGAAACTGAGTCGTCTCAGATATAACGTTACTAAATATAGAATAACAATTAAGATATAGGATGTCTCGTGTTGTTTACTCTATAAAAGGTCTCCACATCCTTTAACAATGCAAAGTCTTTAATTGTCTTTCCTGCTAAAATTTTTTTTGTCTAAGTTGTTGTCCTAGATATTTTTTTCATACGCTCCACTACCACAGTGCTTATCCTAATGGAACTTGATGTCTGTCTACATTATTGTCACAAGAATCTACCTCTTGTCTCCTTATTTTTTTTAATATCAATAATTATCAATTATCTTTCGGATCTAATATATGAATGAATTCTATCTATAACATTAAGCATTCGTATCTTACGCATTTATATATGTTGAAAGGCGAAGATAATCCTTTGTGCATAAAATGTGATGAGCCATTCGCCGTTAAACATTTTTATTGGACTGCATTGACTTTCTGTCTACTCGAGAAACTTGTATCTTAACGTTACAAGTCAAGAGGCCCTTTTTGAAACTGTTTGGGATTTGTAAAATTGTTGGTCTATATTATAGACTATGACGTACCATTTTAAATTTTTGTGATAACATAACCATTTTAAATTTTTAACATTTGTCTTTTAACTTTTAGTTTGTTTTATGTTATTTCCTTTTGGATCGCTGTATGTTTTATCGGTTGATGGCCCTAATGACCTTTTATGTGTCGACGGGCCGATAAGAATGTCGTCATAATACCTAAAACGTTAAGCAATTCACAAATCATGTTCAATTTTACTTTAAATCGTCGTCGCCTTGGAATTTTTACAATGAGCTAATTTTGTTCTTCCTAAATATGTCTCCAAATGTCTTCAAATTTTCCTAGCACGTGTCGATTATTCCTGAAACAATTTCAACATTGTTGTACTTACCCAGTCACCATCATCTTCGCTGTTAGTTATTTATTTAGTTTTTATTTATTAATTTCTCTGAAGCTCCATATATGTAGTGTCTTATCTTCATAATTATCCGAGAAGTTCACGGCATCCATATTTCTCTGTAAACCTTATACAAGGGTTTCCCGATTTAAACTTGTCGAAATACATCGCATATTTTCTCATGTACACGACGTGGATTAAAATTGTGTGAAATCTTGTCATTTTTGTGGATCAAGCGAAGGATTTCTTTCTCTTTTTAAATCTGCTCGAGCGAAAATAATCTGGTATGGAGTTTTTCTTTCAGGATAACTGTTGGCTGTTAGATATTCGTAATGTACTTAAGAATTCCCTTCAGTATCTTCAACAAGGTATAAACGGATATTGATTTTACATAACTGATTGAAGAAATGATTGTATGCGTCAGAAACTGTTGATTGTAATATTTTAATAACATCTTTTCGTCAAAGCAAATGACGCTAACTGTATCTGAATCCCTGGTCTTATACTCAAGGTGTTTTGCCTTTGGTCTCTTGTTAATCCTTTTTTGTTTATATTTTATCTTCCAGTTTCTGAAGGTTCTTAACATATCATAGCTTTATTTCGATTTTTTTTGTTCGTGGATCGATTGCCCTCCTCTGACGAACGAGAGATCAGCGAGTCTGGTAGAAGGGAGACAACTCGAGATATCACGATAGAACATGATTACAGTAGGCTTAAAGATCTGACATATTTTTCACCGTGCATTCAAATTTAGACTTTTCGTGTTGTAAACCAAAACAAATCTTAAAATATAGTTTTGATAAAGTACATGCTATCATTCACAATCATAATGTCACCGAAAGAAAGTCTTTAAAGATTTAAAAAAAGATATGAAAAGCTATTTTTATAATATCTCATGATATTCAGAACAAGCAAACTTGAATTATCCCCCTTGAGTTTAATTATAAATTAAAATTTATTTTCCTTCTATTTCAAAATTCGATTCTATAATGACAAATTTTTTACATTTTAGAATTTCAAAACATATATTTTTAGAGAAATTCATGGCTTAAAATTAAAGAATGACCATAGTATTTGTAACTATAATAATAGGTTAATAACAAACGCAAATTTACTTCTGTTTTGTTTAAATATATTCATTTTTCTAAAGTAAACCGTAATCAATTTTGTATAATTTTGTAGCCTGCAGGTTGTGCAATAGAGCCAGCCTGCTTTTTGATTATGAAACTAAAAAAAAACTGATTTTAAAATGTGCTTTGAACTTTGAAATATTCATTAAGTACTGGTGAAATAGTGATATACTTAGGAAGGTTTTGCGAATGCCCTACAAATCCGACGGAAATATCACAATTTGTAATTTCATTAAACTTGATTTTTAATGACATCTGGTGCAAAGGCTCATGACACCCTTGAAACATTCGATTCTTGTGGAATAGTCTCGGTTCCTAAATAGATAGCTTATATCCAAATTTTTGAACTGGTGTCTAATACCAAGTGATACTAGATTCACTGGTAGAAGGGAGGCTACTCAAGATATCAAGATAAAAATAATAGTTTCAACGCGGTTACTTCCCTTCTAAAAGTCACGTATTTTTTTTTATTTGTGTTTGTGTTTGTTTTCTTGACGAATTAATGCTGACATAATTTCAATAAAAGTTATATTAAATTGCTGCGTGATTTTCAGTTCAAGCAAATTAAAAAAATTCGCTCGTGAAGAACATCTTGTATTACTGATATTTGCCTTTTTATCAAAATTTATTTTAAAGAGGATAAAAAATGCATTTTTGAAAACTATAAAAAAAATAATATCTCTACTATTTGACTTTTATCAAAAATTCGAAAAATTCTGAAGAAATCTGTGAACAGGATACAAGATAAGCGACTTTATTCTTGTTTTATTTGTATATTAGTCTTATGATACTTGTCCTTAGAAATTAAATTCGATAATTTTGTAAATGATACACTGCAAAGCTGACGAGTTTTGACTGAATTATATATATTTAGAAATATTTTGATAGCACGCCCCATATCAGCTCGAGAGTCCAGATATCAGCCAGAGAGGGATGGGGGCTGATCAGGGGTGTGCTATCAAAATGGTCATTTAGTAGTCTTTTTCTCGTGTTTTTTGTTTTGTTTTTGTTTTTCTTCCAAACAAACAACACTAAAACAATAATCTTTTGAAAAAAAATCATTTTATCAACAATATAACAACAATGGTACACTATTTACTGACATTCATAAATATCCGTGATAGTTTAGATAGTTACATTCACACACGTATCACTAATCCTGAAACCAATCCGGAAACGGCACCTATTTTCAGGTGTCCTTTTCATTGCTGAAAACAATGGGTTCCACAATGTAAAACTGATGCAGTTTCTGGGAGTCCAATCAAAATTCTATGAGTACAAGACTGGACTCGCGTGTAGATATACACAGGTCATGGTCTACAGCTGATCAAGGACAACCGCGTCCCCGGGCTAGTCCATCACTTTAGGTGTCACATCAGACTTTGTAAATGACTCCAGTTTTAGAAAGCTGAGAGTAACTCGAACCTTCTCCACTGGTTGTTTTCTCCATTCAAACTTGCCATTAATGTTCTTAAACACTTTGCGCATTGTAAGTCTGGGTTCAACACACACTGGGAAGGAGAGCTGGCTTCTGGTGTACTGTTTATCTATGTAATACCACCAACCGCTGCACATTGGTAGCTTACTAAAACTGTCGATATTACTAATGTTGTATTGTCGACCGGGATCACTACTACCAAATACATAACGGAACATATCCAATGGAAAGTTAACACAGAATGACTGTGTACAGTCTGTTGAAGTTTCTTTGATTCGGCGTGCCAGGCAACGCTGTATAGCAGATTCAAACTGGCGCGCGACAACCACGAGCGCCTCGTAACTGACTTCCGGACGGTAATATAAGCTATCGATATGCTTCGGCAGTATCGACTGTGGTTCCCAGGTTGCTTCAGATAATTCAAAATTTTCCCATTCCATCAGGTACATCATTTTGTTCTTTTGATTAAAAAAGTAAAAAATAAAGATTAACATAAACCACAATTAATGCTGCAATTCTTTGATCAAGGACGTATAATACAGAATGTTAAGAAAATAATATGAAAATAACGAAAATCAATGAAAATATCACAAAACTTACACGAGTCAATTGAAAAAATACTAAGCTGTTTGCTGCCATCAATCTAATGATATCTTTAACTCCGTATTTGGGGCTGAAAATGGTATTTCAATTGTAAACCGCTTGAAATTGAATTTTGTTTTACAAATATCAAAAGATATGTCACAAAAGTTAGCACAATAAATTTGAAGATTATTAAGCTTTCTTACACTGTTTATTTATACTTGATATTTATGCTTTTGGAGAAAATTCATTTATCAAAACAGCGAAGCTTATTAACTAGAATTTCGTCGCTAAATTTTTATAAAGGGATATAGGCAGAATTTTTATCTCTCTGTATTATACGTTATTGGTTTGACTAAAGTAATTGAGAAAACTTTGATATTGTTACAAGTGTTTGATATCCTGGAAAAACATATGTCATTTAATCTCGAATAAAGTATGCTTATTAAGTTTAAGTACTTGTTCGTCACCGTGAAATATCGACAAAACAATTGGGCGTAAGTTCAGCACCGTCTCTTCCGGTTTATACATTAACTTTACAAACAAAACTACCATGTGATATTAACAATGACATTTACGAGTATATCTGTATAAATGAAATTACCTTTATAATTTTGCTTGTGATAATCCGTCGGAAGTTGTGTGTTTTCAATCCGTAAGGGACAGTGGGACGTTGTCTTGCCTGCATTTTGTCATAGGACGTATCAAAATATACCTCCCAATTTGTTTGACGATACTTTCGGAAATTGTATCTTGAAATGTTTCTCGCCATCTTTTCAGATGACTTTTTCTGAAACAAACAACAAGTTAAAAAACAAAAAAAAAAAAAAAAAAAAAAAAAAAAAAAAAAAAAAAAAACGAAACGATAAAACTTTATCATATTAATATTTACTGAAAAGCTAATGCAGATTTGTACCAAAGATACTCAGGGAAATTAAACATATCGCCTTTCAATATAAATTTCGAATGAGATAAGGTAAGACCAAATTACAGCGGTTGCGTTCTTTTGAGAATCTTCAGTTGAAAAAGCTATATTGCTGAAACCTAGGCGGAGAGATGAACATCCAAAATGGTCGGGGGAAAGAGAGAAAAAAAAAATAGAAAAAATACATATATAAAAATTGAGCGGATGTGTGAGTGGGTAAAATCACAGTGTAAGGAAGATGCAGTTATTGTACTGAAAATAAAATATCAGACGTTCATAAAGATCAAAGACGCATTGAATTTAAATTCGTATTTAACATAACTTGTGAGAGAAATGTGGTGATTTGTCTTTACTTTTTAAGGTCACGTTTACGGTTTCCTTTCACATATCCCGGCATATTTTACATAAACACACAGTGATCAATATATATGTATATATGTATTTATCAGTACAAATTGTGAGTTACCTGTCGTGACCGCATTTCACTTGATCAGGTAAATATCTCCTGCATTCGTGGAGTATAGTATGGTCCTCTTTCATCCGCTCTGTGCTTTTATATGCAATATTTACCTGTCTACGTCACAACGACCCGTCCAGACGAGTAATGTCTAAATATAGCACATATTGTGCTGACTTAACAGACTGCGGTAAATAAATAAACAACATGTATGTACATGTATGTACAATGTGTCTGTTCCACTCGATAACTTACTAAATTTTTATCATATCTCGCGGTATTGTCTCAATCGATGTCTCACTGGACACATGTTAAACGTTTGACAAAAACATCCATCAAAACAAGGAACGTTACAGCAGCGAGAAACTGCTTTCATCTCCCTGTCTGTTACACAGGGGCTAGACACGTTTTCACTACCAAAAGTCGATGTTATATATATATCCTGAAACTGCGCTGCTAATGTCGGATACCCTTGGTTGTGACAGCTGAATTTAAACCAGTTTTATTACATAATGATATATAAATGGATCGGACGAACATTATCACAACTATATCACTGTCGTCTCCATAATACATGTATTCAAATACAAAGCATGGCGATGTCCTTACCATAATCAATAGATAACACATTTTACAATGTTTTAGAACTTTTAGAAAAGAAGAAGAAATAGAAAAAGGAGACCGAAATGAAACCGAAATGTTTAAGAGTCGACATAAAGGCAGATGACACTATATATTGACCTGTATTTTAGTCAAATCTTTCACTATCAACAAAATAAAAATCTGAATATACTTAAAATAATATAATAAAAAAAATATAAAATAATATAAATAATATAAATAATATAAAATAATATAAATAATATAAAATAATATAAATATAATTTTATATCTTAAGAAGCATCACCACACAAAAGGCTTTCATATGTAATATTTGTGTACTATGCTAAGTGTCTAGATATTGTATTCTTTTGAACATATATGGAAAAATAAAAGTTTTTGCGTCCTCCGTATTATGACCAAATTGACAGGACGGTTTGTCAATTAAACTGACACGGAATGATTCATAATCAAGATTATTAACATTATTACCTATACGAAAATGTAGTATGTTTACTTTCCTTAATCCAAATACTTAAAAAAATGACCTATGAATATTTAGATTTTTTCTACAGAATTTTCATATTGATGCAAAGTGGAGCAATTTAATTTATTCAGAGACAAATTATACCATAAATTACTGGTATGAAAGAAGACACAGTAAACCTGAGGCGAAAGTGAGGAATGTAATCTTCTTCTCTATGTTTAAAAATTATATGCTAACATATCAGATACTTTGGGGAAAAAAGAGATGTATGATAGCTGTATTTCAGAATATGCAATCATTCGACAGAACTCATTTCTGATTTACTTGAATATTTCATTTGAAAGAACAATTATTAAGATAAGCGATTTTATTTGTTGTAAGAAACAAGAAAAATCAGTAAAAATATTTTTTTTAATATCCATTGAGGTGCGTATCATCTACGTCAGGGATACAAAGGCTGAAAAGACTTAACGAATTCTTCAAATTTCGATAATCTGCATTTTCAATAAATGTTGCAGGATAATAGAATACATGGAGAGTGTCTTAAAATACATAAGAATACATTTTGGTTCAGAACAGAAAGACAAACGTAGTTCACCAAAAGGATCACCACTTCAATCTTTCTTTACGTCCGCCATAATGCAGCTTAATTTTAAAGACACTGATCATATGTTCTCTATGTATTATAGTGACAAGATTTTTTTAAACGGTGATAAATTTCAAATCTTCTTTCTAAATCTATTTCAGTTTACTTAAAATCTGATACTTAGAATGAACTCATTAGAGCTGCACGTTTGTGCGTTCAAGTTTTCACACCCCGAGAAATGCAAATGGCCGATATAGATATGGACGTTACATATGTATCACGCCCTTAACATAAACAAATAAGAAAATGTAATTCATTTTAAGTGTCGGATTTTTAAAAATAATTTGAAATTCGTATGAATTTTCGTTCTTGGATGTTTACATCGTACGAGATAAGATACCATTAAAGGACATTCATTTTGCGATTTCGGCGAAGAGACGAAATGAGATTTCAACCGAATTGGGAAATGTATCTACATGGTCATTTCTATATATATTTATGAATTCGTTTGAATACAACTTGGTCAATACTTGGCTAATCTCGGTCATCAATCTCTCAGCGGAAAGATAAAATATTGTTCTTAAGGTACTAATTGATGTGTCACTAAGATCTACGTTTCTTAGAATGATCAAAAAACGTAAAAAATATACATGTTACTAAGATCTACGTTTCTTTGAATGATCAAAAAACGTAAAAAATATACATGTTACTAAGATCTACGTTTCTTAGAATTATCAAAAAACGTAAAAAATATACAAAAAACGTTTCTTAGAATTATCAAAAACGTAAAAAATATACATGTTACTAAGATCTACGTTTCTTAGAATTATCAAAAAACGTAAAAAATATACAACGTTTCTTAGAATTATCAAAAAATCTACGTTTCTTAGAATTATCAAAAACGTAAAAAATATACATGTTACTAAGATCTACGTTTCTTAGAATTATCAAAAAACGTAAAAAAAATATACATGTTACTAAGATCTACGTTTCTTAGAATTATCAAAAAACGTAAAAAATATACATGTTACTAAGATCTACGTTTCTTAGAATTATCAAAAACGTAAAAAATATACATGTTACTAAGATCTACGTTTCTTAGAATTATCAAAAAACGTAAAAAATATACATGTTACTAAGATCTACGTTTCTTAGAATTATCAAAAAACGTAAAAAATATACATGTTACTAAGATCTACGTTTCTTAGAATTATCAAAAACGTAAAAAATATACATGTTACTAAGATCTACGTTTCTTAGAATTATCAAAAAACGTAAAAAATATACATGTTACTAAGATCTACGTTTCTTAGAATTATCAAAAAAACGTAAAAAATATACATGTTACTAAGATCTACGTTTCTTAGAATTATCAAAAAACGTAAAAAATATACATGTTACTAAGATCTACGTTTCTTATAATTATCAAAAAACGTAAAAAATATACATGTTCAGTTTTCACCTCTCAGGAATAGCAACCTTTGTCACCGTTATACATATGATGTCGTACTCGTACTGTCCATATATGGACCGTTGGTGAGGAATCCTTGTGGTATATTATACACTTTACTCGTATCGTCCAGATATGGACCGTTGGTGAGGAATCCTTGTGGTATATTATATACATGTATATATTTTTACATATTACGGTACTACATGAGGAGTAGGATCATTTCCCCTATTTGACCGCACCCAAGGGATCGAGATATACCGTTCATATTAAGTTGATTACGTTAGAATGCTTGAGATCACGTAGGAATGCTTCAGACTAGAATTGGACAGAGTACAATCATTCCTACAGAAGAATTTGGGCAAAATCTGTTTTGTAGCGATTTTTAGTAAAAAGTTGACGGACTGCCACCGGACGCCGCCGGACGCCGCCGGACGCCGCACCACGGCATAAGCTTACTGGTCCTTCGGAGAGAGTGAGCAAATCATGATTAACAAGTTAGACTTTGTTGTGAAACCTATTCATCGCACAATCCCCAATGTCCCAATGTCGGCAAGGCCACAGGAAGAGATTTCTCTGTCCTACCATTAAGATAGGGAAATATCCTATTCATGCCTTTCTTAGCAACCTCAGAATCACCCTATGGAGTATGAGAGAGAAAATTATATTTTAAGATTAAACATGCTGTAGTGGTTTTCAGCCCGAGGAAATACGTTTCGGCGATTAGTAAACATAATCCGATGACTTCCGAGTGGTTCCGAATGGATCCAGGACTGACATGACGTGTCGTACTTGCAACCAGCGGAGCTGTCCAGATCCGGAATGTATTCACTCATTATCTATTTCAATGCCTCCTCCAGGATTCGAACGCGGGACCTCTGGTATACTAGTCTGACGTTCAACCGATCGAGCGAAAGAGTAATTTTCTCTTTCTTAAACCTATCAGACCTCGAACAAATTCAGAGAGTGTCCTTGTACCATTTGGGACATATTAGTGTAACAGAGGTCATTATTAATCTCAATGCCTCCTCTAGGAATCGAACCCGTGACCCCTTGCTTTCTAGTCTGACGCTCAACCGATCGAGACGAAGAGAAAGTTCCCGCTAGCCGAGCGGCACATTGAGGCTGGTATTTTGACATCGTAAGCTACTCCTCCTTTTGGAAATAACTCGCCCTCGAATTTCCACTGGTGTCAGCGATTCTTGTGATAGAAACGCTAAGATTGTCTCCGAGTTCCTACATGAGTTCAACCAATCGAGCTAAAGAGAAGTTCTCTCTAGCCGAGCGATATATTGCGGCTGGTATTTTACCAGCGTTACATTGGTGTCAGAAGTCGGTGAAAAAGGACAGCCCAGGAAACCACTTTCTAATCGACTTTATACTTCCAAGTCCTTTAGCTTGCAGACTTGGAGGACAATTATGCTGAACCATTTATAGACACTTATAAGCACACAGGAATCTGTATCTATTATGCGACACCATAAGGTTAAAGGTAATCGATAATACAATGTATATATAGTGGTCTTTGAAGATATGTTATCAACATCTGTCACGTGTTTATATATAGATATAGTTCATTGAGCCATGAGCTGCCCGTTATGTCGTGAAATCTGACGTAGGGATAGTCATCTAGGACTCATTACTGTGTACTTATATCATTGTTATACTTGTATTTGTTTTCATATTAATATTCAGATTTGTATTTTGTCTATCTGCTTATATGTGACTATGTTGCCTGCTATGTGTGTACAACCTGTGTACCTGTTTAACTGATTTAAGTGTATTGGGTTTTGCAGTAGGGACAGTAATTAGGAAAGAAGGTGTGTATTGGTATAGTCGAACTCTCTAATATCTCATTTTCATGTCATTCAGTGTAAATGAGATTTGTAGCCTCTGTTTCG